TCGGAGGAGAATTCCTGCTGGACAGCTTAAGTCATGATAAGTAGCCCCTTCACCATTCATCCCTTTCACCTAGCATGTGGAGATTCATCATCTTCACCAATCAATTCATTAACTCCCAAATAATGCCCTTTCCATAGGAGGGGGGTGGCCACACCACAAACCTAGCTAACCTAGCAGCAGCTCTCGCTGATGGTGTCCTACTCCCATATCAGCCCTAATGTCCTGGCAATGAACTCTGTGGGGTTTGACATGCACAATTCCCAGTGGGAACCAGGTAACTCTAGTTCTGGAATGTGGACTTAAAATGTTTTCATCTAATGTACAGAATGTCCTTCTACTGAGTTATTTACAAGAGGATGATTTTATTTTATTTTTTATCTAAATATGGTTCATATCTAATAAATAAAAGCAAGCAGCTTACTCTGAGGCACACTGGGTTTCTAGATTATTTACATAGTCCTGTCCTTTGGCATGACCCAATCTCTCCATTTGGATTTTATGGATTTGCTCATATGTCTGGGGGTGATAGCTCTTGGGTTTACTTAAAGGGTTATCTCAGAAACACCAAATGTTTATTTATGGTTATTTATGTTTACAACAAGAAGCAAACAGTAAGAGCTGATGTGTAGACCAAAGTTTTTTTCTTGTTAGGTAAGAGAAAGCTTGGTAGTATTTGACACCTAGTTTGGTCCCCTTTTGAGTCATTTGGAAAATTCATGATGCATTTTTGCATAGAAGAACAGAAAAAATACATCATGACTTTTCCAATGACCCAATACATACAATAGGGGTTTCAAGCCACAAGCCTGGAATAAAGTAGTTTGATGCTTTTGAACATCCAAAAGACTGCGGGTGACAAGTCAGAGATGGCTGTGGGTCCAAGTCCTTGGGTGGCAGCAGTGGAAAGAGGGACCCCGCCTGTCATCTCAGGAGCCTCTGGAGAGGTCTATACCTGGCTTGGGGGTTTGTCAAGGAAACTCTTTAACAGGTGCACCATGTTATAAGTTGAACCAAGTCAAGAGAAAAAGGTCCTTCCAAAGACACAGGCTGTAGGCATTGGTGGGTGGGCTAGGAAGGATGAGAACAAGACAAGGTGGAATGGCTGGCCTCGGTTCACCTGCTCACCAGGAAGCATGGCTCTTCTGGAGTCCTCAAGGAGCACTCGCAGCAGCCATGTGTCCATTCAGCTTAATCCGACCTGTGTTAAATATTGTGTACTCAGCTTAGTGCTATTGGGTTGTCGGGAAAGTCGTGACGTATTCTTCTGTGCGAAAATGCATCTTGATTGTTCCGACAACCCAGTAAATGCCGTGGAGGTGAAAGAGCAAAAGCATGTACCTGGCGATAAGCATGATCATCCTAATCAGTACTTACTTTGTTTTCATTTTTTTCTCAAGTGCTTCGCATCTGTTCTCTCATTAATCCTCACAACAGGGGTCACCATTATTATCTCATTTTAGAGAAGAGCACATAGAAGCACAGAGAGGGCAAGGGACTTTTCCAGGATCACACAGCTAACAAGTAGCATAGTGGGTGGAAGCCCAGACTGCTGACCCCAGAACCTGAACTTGTAGATGTTTATACCAGGACCAATCACTTTGTAGATGCTAAGAAAAAAGTTGAAATGTACAAAGAGATTTCAATTTAAAAAGGGTGTAAGGATTAGTTAGTTAAAAAAATAAACCAGAAACACCCGAAATGTTTAGTAAGAAAGGAAGGACTATGAGCTAATGATGGCAATTAGGATAAACTTCCATTCATTCTTCACTATGCCCCAGACACTGAGCTGAGCTAACTGTTTTGTCAGAAAAGTCATAATGCATTTTTGCACAGAAAAACCAAAAAATACATCATGACTTTCCAGACAACCCGTATCTCGTTTCTCTTTACAACAGTCTTAGAAGATCTCTACTTTATCTTCCCGTCCACATTATCTTAGAAGTGAAGGATCTGAGATACAGAAAGAAGTAAAAAAGAAAAAAAAAAGCACAGAGACAAAATCAGAATATGAAATTGTATATCAGGCCTGAGACCAGCTTTATGAAACGACACACAGACATAGGGGAATTCACAGAAATATTACCAAGGTTTGCTTCTGGAGAGGGTGGAGAGGTAATTTTTATTCTCTCTCTCTCTCTTTTTTTTTTCTTAAGAATTATTTATATAATTTTTATTTATTATTTTTTATTTAGAGAGATTTTTGCTATAGGGCATGTGTGCTCATTGGAGAAACAAAGAGAGACTGAGAAAGAGAAAGCAAATCACACCCCCAGGGAGGTTGGCCTTACCACAGTCCCTTCTCCTCCATTCTCCTCTCAGGATTTGGGGCATGCATGCACATGTACCTGATGTGAGTTTCAAGCCACTGGGTCGGGACTCCAAATGTAGTCAACTACGTAGGAGTTCAGCAACAAAACCATTATGTTATATGCTGGTTCCTATTATTATTTTAATTCACCAGAGAGAGAGAGGGAGAGAGAAAGTGAGAAAGCAAGCTGCTAGACCCAGGCCTTGAACCACAGTCAGCCATGTGAGAGTCCAGCACCTTAACCACCTCCTAGCCCCTATTCTTTATTTCTTTCTGCAAGTACTGCTTTCTACAATAAGCCTGTATTCTAATTAGTATCTTATTGTTAAAAAGAGCAAGTTTAAAAAGTATTTTAAAAGAAGATGAGAGAACTAGAAGCTACAATTTTGGCCTCGGAGCAGCTTGCAGGTGGGAAAATGGTGGGACCCCCCTAGCACCGCCTGCCTTATCTCCTGGCCATTGATGCCAGTTCCTTACCTCCTTGCAGGCACTCTTGGGGTCATTCTATTGCTTGTATCTCCACACCAGGTGTCTAAGGATTAACGAACAGGCTCTTTGTGTGAAGAACAGCCAGGGACACACACTGCGTTAAATACCCTAAATGAGAATAGGAGGGCTTCTGTTTGCTGTGATCCTACTGTGCGTCAGCTGCATGCCAAGTGTTTTACATGTCATTTTCTGTCCCTATAACAGGACTACAGGATGATGGCATGGGAGCCTGCATTTGCAACGTCTCCCTCTGATATCCCAGCCACCCTCTGCCGTTCTGGCCCGGCTTGGAGCGCTGGGTTGTGACCCTGCAGGTTGCATCTCTCAGGCTTCTGTACAAATGGGTTTCTGGTTGAGTTTGACCCCTGCGGAGTCACTAGCAGAAAGTAGGGTGGAAAGAGAAGTCAGGGTTCTTTTCTCTACCCCTCTACTTGAGCCTGACTGCAGGAACTGCACCGCATAATTACATCAGCAGAGAGCCTCCTCCACGGCTGGTTCTCCCTGGACTAGTCCCTTCCCTGTTCCTTCTGACTGTTAGGTTCCAGGTGCAACAGCCCTTCCGGGATGCTTTAATACTGTCCAGCCCCACCCTCTCTCTTCTGCTGAGCCTGGGGAGTGAAGTCCTCTTTTCTTTTTAGAGCTTTTTCTATACGGCGGA